CCCCCCCCCCCAATGGTAGACCTAAAGTTACGCCCTTGACTGTAACCTGTCATATTTATTAAAGACACATGTTTACTGTAACTAAAAACTGTATATTTATCTTTTACCTTGACTTAGTGAGACTGTCTGTAAATAAAAGTAGAAAGTAGGCACACACAGCTCGTGATCACACAGCTAACCACACACTCATTCCACATTGTAAATTTAACCTGTAAACTAATCACAGCCACAGACAAGTGGACTAAAAGCCCAATGTAATGGGACACTTTGTCTCGATAATTAGTTTTATGAACCTTCCTCGGTGTCATTATTACAGAAATGATTCATGGGCAGAAGCAAAGTTGATTTTTCTGGGATGGACCACAAGAAAAGTTTGCTCACCTAATTGCTAGAGAAGATGCTTATGGGTCTCTTACCCATATTGAAGGAAGCCCTGGACTGTTGTAATACTATAGTGCGTAACATCGTCAGCTTTGCTTTAAATTACCATTGGTGTATTTTCATGACTGAATTAAAAGCATTGAATTTCAGAGCAACTATTTACAAAAAATGTTTGGGTTTTAAGTTAATTACTTTCCCGAGTGAAGAGACAATTTGCACTAATTGCCAGCTCTAAGCAGTTTGGATTAAGTTTACATAGTCCTACTCCTTTTTTTAATATAGGGATTAAAAATTGTTTCCTGGTATCTTGTAGCTTAAATGTCTAAATAACATGCTGCTCACGTTCACAAAGTTTGAATCCTCTTATAAGTGTAATTTTTAGAAATTGCATCTTGTATCCAAAAGTGCAATAATCATTCTGACCAGCAGCAAAACGGTTTACCTTTTTACTTCGGCTGCTTTTTTTGGTCACATTTCTAGGTAATTATTCACTTTATTTTGTTATTGATGATAGAATGTTGTGTAAGAGAGCAAAGTTAATAATTTTTTTTTAGTTTTCTCTCCCAGTTCCTTCACTTGTGAAGAGACCACAAATACTCTTCACTGTTAAATTATAGCCATTTTTAACATTACTGAATCATAACGTCCATCCTTCTGTTTTAACTGTTTCTCCTTTTCGGGTTGTGGGGAGCTGTGCCCATCTCCAACAGCCATTGTGCACAAAGTGGGATTACACCATGGACAGACCACAGGGCCACAAACAAATGTCCATTCACACTCACTCACCCACAATATGAGAGAATTTAGCATTGCCAGTTAACCTACCGTACAATATTTTTGATCTGTGGGTGGAAACCGGAGTACCTAGAAAAAAATCCCAGACATGCACTGAGAACAGACAAACCTCACACAGAAAGGCCCCGGGCTGGGAGGTGATCCTGTGACCTTCTCTCTTAGAGGTGAGAGCTCTAACAGCTGCACTGCCATGTCGCTGAATCACAAAGTTGTGATTAAATCAACAGGGCACCTGTTTAAAGCTTAGTCAGTGACAATGTTTACTTTTTTGTTGTGTTCTTACAGTTTTGCTGTTTTCTTTGTGCATAAGATCGTCACTCTCACAGTCTCACAGGACAACATGAAATAAGCATAGCTTCTTACTGCTGCACTATGCAATGATGATGTAATGGTATAATTCATGAAAAGCAGGAGTCTTGCCTGTAAGAGCCTTAACACAGTTAAGCTTGTTTTTAGTCTTAGCCAAAAGCTGTTTGTCTGGTTACACAGGTGATGAGTTTTCTTCCAGGTTCTAGTGATGACATCAAAAAATTATGAATAAATACAATAATTATTTAATATTAATGCTTCTAGCTTTTAGATGCAAAAAATACTAATAGCAATGTTAGATGATATATTTTCTTATTAGTATAGTAGCAGAGTTTCTTGATGATTATACTTTTGATACAGTAACCAAAATTTGAAAATTACAGAAAGTCCTCGTGCTTGGAATATCTATGTGAATATGCAAGAAATATTGATTGCTCATCTTTTAAAAATTAACAAGCAGGCTAAGGCTGCATACCAGGAAAGCAGAATTAAATTAAAAAAATTAAAAAAAATGCATGAAGATTTATATCTGGATCGACATCAGTAATTATTCACTTCAAAGTGGATCATCCCTCATTTTTGATTGAAAAAAAATCAGATCTGTTCGTTACATTCAGAATCCCCCTACAGACAAACGAGTCAAAGACAAATCTGCCACTTTTTGTCCTTGGCTTGGTGACTGGACTGTTTTCAGTACCCTGGTGTCAAATCTGTTTTTACTGATAGCTGTTAGCTTAACAGTGCTTCGTCTGCCTTTGTTTTTGTCATCTTCTCCAGAGGAAATACTGACTCACTTTAGAGCTGCTTTATATTCAGGCATGATTTTGTCTGCATTTTCATATATGCATTGTCTTCAGGGGATCAGACAGTCTTTAGTGGGCTGAAATTTGCATTTATAGCCAGAATTACAGCCAAACGAAGTAGTTGTGATTGTATTCAGCCTCTCTGCATGAACAGAATCATTACTGCTTCAATCACTTTCCCTCTCTTACTTTCTTTCCTTCCTTCTCTCCATCTCACTACCATCATGTGGATCCCAGCTTTCCCACCTAAAAAATAAACTGAAAGGGTAACTGGCAGCAGGCTGTAGCCAACAAGAGCTTCTTTCTATTTGTACATGGCAGTGAATGAGTAACTTTAACCCTGCAGCAGGAGATACATTAAAGGCATTTTGTATAGAGATGGGGAAAAATAAAAGTACACCTCATGTTACATTAGATGTATAAATTCAAAATGCAGAAGCTAAAGGTTTACTCTTTTGCTTCTAGAGAATGTAGGTAAGCTGAGGATAACAGAGAACAAATCGATTGGTCATTTAATTCTCAGCACTGAAACATACTTACTGTAATACAAACACTAAATTCAAAGTTTTTACTTTTCTTGCTCACAACATTGAGTGTTTTATGTCTTATACTCAGTGTTGTATAAAGTACCACAAAGTGATACTTGAGTAAAAGTACAATTATCTTGCCAAAAAATTACTTTTGTAAAAGTTAGTCTTCTTTAGGAATATTACTTGAGTAAAAGTCAAAGTATCTGATATTTTTTGTACTTAAGTATTAAAAGTAAAAGTATTGAATTAAAATGAGCAGTTAGATTTTCTGTAATGACATTTATTAGGAGGTGACCTCCCCAAAGAAATGCAGAAATGACTAAATTGTATTAAAATAATTAATTTATGTTAAATTTAGGATGCACTAGTCTAGCTGTTTTAATTAATATACATATATCAAGGGTGCCTAAACCTTTTCCCCAAAATAAAAATCTATCCGAGGGCTACGACCAAATGCAATAATATAATTCATGAAACAGAAATACTTCTTAGGTACAGTATTTTTATTTTAGCGATTATGTCCTGCTGGAGTGTGACATGACTTGTTTGTGTCATGTCACAAACATGTATATGGTATTAGTGTATAAACACTAACACCGTATTAGTATTCTGATACTAATACGGTATCAGAATTTTATGTAATAATAATTCTCATTCAACCACAATTAAATTCTCTCTATCTAGGAGGCACAGGTTATATGGATGGTATTTATTTTTGTACAATAACAACCTGGGATGAAAACAAGCAAAAATGAAATAAAGTAATGACTTTCTACTTCTTGCCTTTTTTTAAACGTAAGGAGTAGAAAGTACAGATAATTGTGAGAAAATGTAAGAAGTAGGAGTAAAAAGTAGGCTGAAAAATAATTACTCAAGTAAAGTACAGGTACCCAAAAATTCTACTTAAGTACAGTAACAAAGTATTTGTACTTAGTTTCTTTATAACTCTGCTTATATTTCCCCAATTTCCTTAATTTTTTTCCTTTTTTTTATACATTTCTGTTTCACTCACTCTTTTTCTCAGTTTTCTACTAATGTTTTCCTTCTTTTTTTTTCCTCCACAGGTGTCTTTCTTTCTCTTCATTGTATTCGTGGTTTACACCATGTTGCCGTTCTCTATGCGGGAAGCCATCATTGCCAGTGTTCTGACCTCTGCCTCTCACACCATTGTGTTGAGTGTTTGCCTATCTACAACAGCTAATCACATGGAGGCAGTCGCTTGGCAGGTAAGGTGACAAACCTCAAGAATATGTATAAAGCAGACGGTACATTAATGTTAAGAAAATCGTTTAAAACAAAACTTGTTAGTTACAAAGCAAGTCTGTAAACAACAGTGACTAAAGGTAAAAAGAAAAAAATATTATTGTAGCAGTAGTAGTAGTAGTAATAATGGTGAATTACAAAATCAAAATAGGATAGGTTTTATTAATTTATCTAAATCAAAGTTTCCTTTCATTTTAATTTTGCAGTTTGTAGCCTACTATTGCCAGCAAATGTAATATTTTAAAGAAAATTAGCATTAGAGGTAAATGTTAGAAATTCTCATGTATATTATTTTTTTCTTTTTTGTAGCTTTTATCTAAAAGGTCACTCTCCTTTCTGCAGTAATTCTCTATGTACAAAATATTCAAGCAGTTATCCTGGTAAAGGAACTGTTTGTCTTTATTATGTACAGTACTTCAAACAATACTGCGTCATCACGTTCAATAAAGAATGATTTGCTTGTTTGTATAAACAAATTGAAATACAGATATTGCAGGGATACAGGTGAACATCAACTATCAGTAGGCAAGGCGGGTGAAGTGTCTTGCCCAAGGACACAATGACTGAGATGGCTGGAACGGGGGATTGAACCGGCAACCAAATTGGGGGCAACTCACAGGAATGTTTCATATTTATTTATTTTCTTTATTGAAATAGACCAACAAGAACATGCTTCCTAATTTTCTATCAAATGCTGAATGGTTGACTGTTTATTATAATAATTCATTTTATTTGAAGGTGCCTTTCATGGTACTCAAGGATACCATACAATTAAAATGCAGTAAAAAACAAAGATGATACGATGAACATTAAGATCTTAAGATGGTTCTGGAGATGAAACGAGCAGCAGAGTTTTGGACCAGTTGGAGTTTATGGATGGATTTTATTGGTAAACCAAAAGGAAGGTAGTTGCAATAATCTAGATGTGATGTGACCAAAGAGTGAACCAGAATAGCAGTACTGCTACAAAAGAGGGATGGACAGAGATGAGCAATGTTACGGAGGTGAAAGTAGGCTGCATGAGTGATGTTACTAATATTGGATTTAAATGATGACATATTTAGGATAATAAATATTTATTTTACAACATATGTGCTGTACAGCATTTAGCTTTTCATTGAAATATGCATAAACACTTACACTTTTTTGGCCTCATATTACTTTATTATGTCTAAGCACAATACATTGCATCTAGGCATAGTTCAATTTTTTTGTGTAAAAGATAGGAATCCCTTGGCACAAAAGTTTTGTAGAAAATTTTAAGTTTTAAATCTAAAATTTTGTGTAATTTGTTTGAAGTATTTGATAAATCATTCCAGTTCATTAGTTTAATTTAACATAGCTGGTAAAGGCACCCAACTGTTCATAAATGCACAAACCACTCAACTTGTTTGGGTAAAAAAAAAAAAGTTCAACATTAAAGTCATGACAACTGATTCACACATAACAAATGCAATGACCATAGACTAAATTTTTTGGTGCCATCAAAAAAAAGTGCAAATGGTATAAAAGAACCTTCAAGAAAAACATTTTATTCTTGTCTATAAAGTCAGTGAGTCAACCTTCAACTTTTATGTAACTTGACATGATTTGCCTGAAGGAATGGAATATGGAATAAAGTGACTAAATCTAAGTGTAAGAAGCTTTTGGAGACGTACCAAGACAATTTAAAGTGGTAAATGCTGTTGAAGAGCCCAGCACAAAAATACTGATGTAACTGGGCTGAAATCTGTGTTTTTAGATTTTTCTTTTTTTAGATTTAAAGGTGGTTTAGAAATGTGTAGTAGTTTCATAATTGGCCTAAGTATAAATGTCTAACATTAACATATAAAAATATATACAAATCATTTTCATGTCGTTTTTTGAGCCCAGTTTCTAAAACTGTAGGAAAAAGAACTGCTCTTGGATTTTTTTTTCTTTTTTTAAACTTTTTGTCATTAGTCTGTCTGCTTTTGTATGTGTGTAACTGTGGCAGCTGAATGCTGGCTTAAGGACAGCCTGAGGTTATATCCTATCTGGTCAATGTCTCACCTCGTCACCTCCTTAGCTCAGTTTGCCCATCAACACAAATTCTGACTGAAGAGAAAGTGTGCTTCAGTATGTCTGAGAAATGTGGATCCACGGAATAAGAAAAGGAAAGAGTTCTCAGAAATATTCCCTCTTTGCTGACGGACAGTTAATAGTTTTATTTAATAAGAACATCTCACAGCAAAAGAGATTATTAGGATGCATGGACTTTAAAGGTAATTATTGCAAAGCCATGACAAAAATCATGTATTTTTCTCATGAATGATTAATGTCATTGAATTCAAAGTTTGCAAGTGTAGTAGGTTGAGAAATGACAGTTTTAAGTTTTATTAAAGCATCCTTGAGAAATGGCTTTAAGTTTTATTGAAAACTCTGTCGACTTTAGCTCGGCCTTTAATACCATCTGTCCTGACATCGTACTGAACAAACAGGCTGCCCTAGTCTTCCCTCCCTCCATTTCTGCCTGGTTTAAGGACTTCCTTACAAATCGTCCTCAGTCTGTAAGGATTGGTGCACACAGCTCCTCCCCCCTGGTGCTCAGCACTGGCTCCCCCCAGGACTGTCTGATGAGCCCAGTTCTATTTGCTATCTACACCCATGACTGCACTCCCTCTCACTCCACCGCCATCATAAAATATACAGATGACACTACTCTGGTGGGACTTATAACTGGTGGAGACGAGTCAGCATACAAGGACGAGGTGCAATGGTTGGCAGTGTTGTGTGCAGGAACAACCTGTTATTCAACATCCTAAAAACTAAGGAGATAATAATCAATTACAGGAAGAGCAGGGGCTGCCCCTGCACAACTCTACATCAATGAGGGCAGCATACAGAAGGTCTCCCACTTCAAATTCTTGGGGACCTACATCTCAGAAAACCTCTCCTGGTCAGTCAACACCACAGCAGGGGTTAAGAAGGCCCAGAAACAACTCCACTTCCTGAACATACTCAGATGGGACAACATAGAGACTAAGCTGTTGGCAACCTTCTATCACTTCACCATAGAGTGAGTGCTGGCAAATACCATCACAGTGTGCTACGCTGGCTCCACTACTGCTGACAAAAAGGGGCTTCATGAGTTGATCAGGACTGCTGAGAAAATAACCAGTGGTCCTCTCCCCTCCTTAGAATATATCGCCAGCACCTCACATTCTCCTGGGCAAAGAGAATCTAAGTCCACTTTCATCCTGGTCACCTGCTCAGCCTGCTGCCCTCTGAGCTGTACCATCAGACTTAAAAACAGTTTCTCCTATGGGCCATCTGGATTCTGAACACCAGTCAAACATCCTAAGTGCATTAATTACTTTTTTATTGGTTTTGTCACTGTATAAAATGTACTGTATTGCTGTTGTCCTATATGTCTTTCTACTTTCATTTTCATTGTACAGTCTTGTGCAATGGGAAAGACTATTCTATTCGTCTATAATACCCCTAATTTATCATTATACATGAACTTTCATATTATTGTGAAATCCTATGTGATCTGTCAGGGCTTGGAGTATGTGTTGAAAACATACACAGGCAAACACATTATCATTTGCCTTTTACCTTTTAGTGGCAGGTGATAAATATGCTTAATAAACTTAGTATGATGTTTTCTTTTTTTTTTTTTCTTTTTTAGCTACTAGTCAGACACTGTTGGCTATTTAACCACAGGGATGGACTTGGCAGCAAGGGTCAACAGATGACTTGCAATTCTTGGCCTGTATCCCTGGCTGCTTGTGGTCCCACAACACTGAATGCACACTGGACATGCAGTTTGATGAACTACTTATTTAAAGAGTACAGTAAATATTTTTTAAAAAATTCTAAATTTTTGGCCCCAAAAGTCAAAACTATGAATTCAAACACTAGAAATAATTGATCCTACAATATTAAATACCTCAATTTATATAACTGGATTAATGTATTTAAAAGTTTCATCATAGTTTTTCTCGAATAATTTGCCAACATTACAGAATTAGGTTTGCGTTTTTTATTTCATAAATTTATTCAGTAATTTCAAATTTAACATTTATGCTACTCACTATGTACTATGCAGTACACTTGCCCAAGTTAAAAAAAACATAAGTTGCCTTACATTTTTTTAGACTCAGGCAGCGCTAAAAATTGCAATAAACTAAAAACAACTGCATCTGTACTATAACACCTATGAACACAATTAGTTTGTTGCTACATGCACATGTTCATGTAAATCCACACACACACACACACACACACACACACACACACNACACACACACACACACACACACACACACACACACACACACACACACACAAAAAAAAAAACTCTATATGATGTATATGTATGTATATATGTATATTAAGATACCCAGAAGGAGAAAACTCAGCAGTGCATCATGGCATCATCCTAACAAGCTTGGTCTCAAATAGTGTAACTGTGGATTTTTTTCATAACCTGAGACTATGACTGTAATCAGTGCATGCTTTAAAATGTTTTCCTGTAATTGTGTTAGCAACATTTTAACACCACATAGAGGTAACTTGTGCCTCTAACCTGAAAATGCCCGATTAAGTAAATTATTTGACATTGTCTTGTTTTTTTAATCATTCAGATTCAAATCTACATTCTTAATGTATGTAAAAGCATAGCTCTGAAGTTGTAATTTGTTACATTTTAGTCCTCTTATTTTTAAAATATTTTCTGCAAGACAATATAGTACATCTTAACATATAAAATATATCTACAGAGGGTATGCTTTTTCTATATAACATGTTGATTGAGGTAATTCAACATAAGGAAAATATTGTAATTATCTTCTCTTTTTCTTAATAAAAAACTGTCAAAAATATCTGTCTAAACTTTTTAAATGTTTTTTTTCTTTTCACTTTTACCACATCATTTTCCAATTTAAACATTTATCTTTCTTCAAAAAATAAGAGGAGGGAGAAGTAACATTACCTTAGATACAGTAGGTGGCATGCCATTAGGCATGCCTACACCAGTGCTGTAGAATTGAAGGTAGTCATTGGGGTGCTACCCCAAAGATTATCAGATAGATAGATATACACGGCCATAATCTGCCTCATGTTATATTATGCTGCTTTAGTATGGTGGGTTTGAGTTCAAGCTGGGGTGGCAGGAATGATGCTTTAATATATATATATATAATTAAATAAATAAATTTAGAATAATCTTGTCACTGTCTTTTTGCTTGCACAGATTTTGGCCAATGTTATCATTTTTGTGTGTGGCAACATGGCTGGGGCATACCACAAGCACCTCATGGAGCTGGCACTTAAACAAACCTACCAAGACACCTGCAACTGCATCAAGTCTCCAATCAAACTGGAGTTTGAGAAAAGACAACAGGTAAGGTAATGACTCTTAGTGAGCCAATAAAAGTTAGACTGGAACAGAGACTGTGCTATAGTGCTGGCGGGGATGATGTTTGGCATTTTAATTTATTTGTTTTGCCTATTAAAACATTATTTGAGATAGTTTACAATTATTTTTTGATTCTGATAGAGCTGAGTTAATGTAGGGTCTTTAAGAATCTGCAGATGTTTGCATCCAAGATTTCAACAGCCGTTGCTCATGCATTTGTCCGTAAACATTAATTATTAATATGTTTGTTTGCATTTGTATAGTTCAATATAAAACTTGAATTATTGAGACCAGTCGGCTTTGAGTGTTACAAATCAGCCTGATATGCATGAAAATAGCTTTTTAGTGTGATAGATATTGAGTAGCTCAATTAAATCTATATGTACGTAACAGTAAAAATGATGAACACAGGATGGACCAAATCTAATATAACCAAACCAAAGTACAAAGGGGGGTTCTTGTAGGTTGACACACAAAAAATAAATCTCACAACAAACAATAATCAGTAATCAAGATCAGATTGACAAGGACAGAAAGAAAAAAACAACAACAGAAAATACTTCTCAGTTTTTCTATACCCACTTAATCCTGTTCAGGGTTGTGGGGAACTGGTTTCCATCTCTAGCAGTCAACTTGTGACAGGCGGGCTACACCCTGGACAACTCACCAGTCTACTACAAACAACATAGATTAAAAAAAAAACCCATCATGCACGCACACACTCACTATACTCTATTTAGAGTTGCTAATTGCATGCTTCTAGACCGAGGAAGGAAATCGAAGTACCCATAAAATACCCAAATGTCCTCAGGGAGATGCTTAATCTGCAAAGATCCCAGCTCAGTTTCAAACCCAGGACCTTCTTGCTGTGGGCCGGCAACGCTAAACATTATACCTTCCTGCAGCCGTAAAAAAAATTTAAATAGGAAATCAACATGGACTGGAACAAAGTGTCTCAAAACCCATGACAGTCTCAAAGATATAACTTTTGATTACCCTTTATTGTTCTTTCTTTTTGCTCAGTACCGTTTGTACATCGTTCCATTAAAACAGTTTTGTGATTTCATTTGTGCAGGAATTACACAGATTCAGAAATTGCATGTATCAGAACATTTTTGTAGTATTACTCTTGTACAACCAGCCAAGTACTTTCATTACAATGAAGTGCTCTCTAATCACTTCATATAAGACAGAAATACAGTAAGCACAATTAAGCTTTGAATGTAATGCTGGACATTTTAACCAATGTGGCTTTTTTTTGCATTATTTGTAAGAATATAGTGCCTTTTTATTCAAAACTATTTGTGAGTCAAGTTCACTTTTCTCCACATCTGTTGAAGTTGTAGCTTTTGTGGAACTTTATAGATACATAGTATTAATGTATCCAGCTGTTGTTTTGAAAGCACAGACTTGGGGCGGAGTTGATTTTGCCGAAGGCGACATGAGCTTCTGTTGTTTGAACTGCGATGAGTAAAGCTTAAAATGCTTTGGGTGAGGTGTTTCGTTGGAGCCCTGGGGTGCTGGCTGCAGCTTTGATTGTGACAGATGGTAGTAACCGTGCAGAGACAGTTCTTTCAAGCGCTTGGTGCACTCATAATATATGCTGTTTCAACCACGGTGCACTCCTTTACAGAAAGTGCATAGATTTCTGGTTGAGTAATCCAAGTAGGGATGTGCGAATTCATCATATACACAAAATCCAAAACTGCTAGCCTTCAGTCACCAAAGAACCCCTAAACATAGAAACATCTCAATTGTATTAAAAAAAATAAATCTGTATTTTCACTCATTTTGCCAGCACGGGTCACAAATGTGTTCTTGTATGACTGAACCATACATAGTTGCATAGAACTCATCTAATAATTAGTTAATTTTTAAAGTAATCTCTGTACAATTTTGTTTTGCTTTTTTTGTGCCCTCAGGAACGTCTTCTGTTGTCTTTGCTGCCAGCTCACATTGCCCGTGTGATGAAAGCTGAGATCATACAAAGACTGAAAGGACCAAACTTTGGCCAGATTGAGAACACAAACAATTTTCACAACCTCTATGTCCAAAGACATACTAATGTCAGGCATGTAAATATTTCATCGGATCACCACTTTTATAACCATAAGGATCTGCACAGAAAAAGATGTGACTCCTTTTTCTTGGCTGAGGAATGTAAAAAAACAATTATGGTTTATTTTTAAATCTTTATTTCTTTCTTCAGTATACTTTATGCAGATATAGTTGGATTCACACGACTGGCCAGTGACTGTTCACCTGGAGAACTGGTCTACATGCTGAACGAACTGTTCGGTAAATTTGATCAAATTGCTAAGGTAAACAACTGAGTTTAAGCCCCTGGTTAATATGTTATAGCTATGTAAGATTTAAAAATATTGTAGGAATGGAAGGTAAACATTTGTGTTACACTCACATTTTAGGGCCAAAGTGCTGTGAAACAGCAGAAGGCCCTATTGGTTTTAACCTGATTATTTTATTTTTTCTAATGATGAGGCTTTTTGCACTGTGTTCTAGTGGGCTGAGATTCATGAAACTTGGCAGTTATTTTGAACTAGCGTAAAAATGGGAAGTTCTTTAGTTGGACTTGCACACAGTCCAAATCGCCCTGGGGCCCTTTATCATTATCTGCAGTTTTAATTTAGTTTTGCAATACTGGAAAAAATAGACAAAAACCTCTGTGAATTTTAGACATGAAAAATGTGTGAATTGTTTATTGAATCCTCTCTCATTTATAACCTTTAGTCTTCTTTTAGGTGAACCAAGAATAACTGTTAAAAATGCTTTGTGCAAGATAAAAAGTTAGTGACTTTTATTTAATATATTTTAAGCTAACATAACATTTTAACTTTTGTTTCAATACAAAGAATATCCTTTTTTTCTCACCAGCCACACAATATTCAAAAGCCCATCCACTAGGATACATATTAAAAGTTTTGAACTTTTCTCAATTTAACTACCTAATAAGATTAAAACTCTACCTGCACTGCTTGCCTATATGTTTTTTTTTATCTCTATAGTTACAGTATTGTGTCTGTTCCTTTTTCTATACAGGAAAATGAATGTATGCGGATCAAAATCCTTGGTGACTGTTACTATTGTGTGTCTGGGCTCCCAGAGTCTCTGCCAAACCATGCTAAAAACTGTGTAAAAATGGGACTGGATATGTGTGAGGCCATCAAGTGAGTGACAGTTACTTAACAGCTCTATAAAAAAGTAATGACCATTTACAAAAAAAAAAAAAAAAAACATTGGGCTTATTCTTAGCTATGTCAAAATTTAAGTTATCAGCCAAACTGAATGTTTCAGAATAATTAAAAAACAAACAAAAATAATAATTGTGACATATCTATTTTTCCCTTTGTTTCAGTCCATGATATAAAAGTCTTTGAGCTTTTTGCTCCTATTTATGACAATATATGTTGTGCTTGTGATGATTTTTGTGTTAAATAATGGCTTTTATTCATGATAGGAAAGTACGAGATGCTACATGTGTGGATATTAACATGCGAGTAGGTGTACATTCTGGGAATGTCCTGTGTGGCGTTATTGGACTTCAGAAATGGCAGTATGATGTTTGGTCACATGATGTCACTTTGGCCAACCACATGGAAGCAGGTGGTGTACCAGGGTGAGTGACAAAGAAGTCATAAAAAGCACACACTGTCATGATGCCCGTTTAAAACAAATGCTATGCTGTTGCTTTCTATCTGGAAGAATTTTGTTTGTCCTTGATATCCTGAGTTGTTTGATTTCATACTGGAGGACCATTAACTGATCAGTTCTTTGTCAGGCGAGTCCACATTTCATCAGTAACCTTGGAGCACCTGAATGGTGCCTACAAGGTGGAGCATGGGGATGGACAAGAAAGAGATCCTTACCTGAAGGAACATGGGGTCATTACTTATCTGGTTATTAATCCAAAGGTACTTTTTAAAAATTACAACAAGGATTGAACAGTATATTAATGAAAAGTCTGTAAAGCAACACTATTTCCATGTTTGTTTAGGTTGAGCGTCGGAGCCCACAGCATCATTACCGACCCAGACACACACATGATGGAGCAAAGATGAGAGCCTCAGTCAGAATGACCCGCTACCTGGAATCATGGGGAGCAGCCAAGCCCTTTGCCAACTTACATCACAGAGACAGCATGACTAATGAAAATGGCAAGATCAGCACAACTGTGTGTATTAATTTATGGTTTTGTATGATGGTATAGTTTTTGTGATTTGAATAGGAGCTCTTAGTTGCCAACTCTTGCTCTGTTTCCTCTTGCACTGCTTTTAGGATGTTCCAATGGGACAGTATCACTTTCAGAGAAGATCAGAAAGGCAAGCGGATAATTTTGCTGCTCCCGTTAAATATTTTTGTTTGCATTGTCTTTAAAGGGGCGATATTATGTGCTTTCCAAGCCTATATTTAAATTTTATACTAAAATAAAGTAATTATGTCACATTTTCAGCTTATGAAAGAGCTATATATTTGTAAAAATCCCCAAAACTATTTACTTTTCATCTTGACAGTTACTAAACGCCTTGAAATAGGTCTCTGTCTCTTTAAGAAAATCCAACCACTTCGGTCACGCCCATTTTATCACGTAGCCTGCCAGAGTCACAGAGCGGGAGGGAGGGGAGGGGGGCACTCTATCATGAGGAAGCTCGGCTTAAATACACATCCTAGAGGCATTTCTGGTCCCCACCTGTCGTTTTGCTCCTCAGCATGGCTGCCTAAAAATGCTGCAGGATTTCTCAAACATGCATGAGTGAGTCAAAGCAAGGCTTTGGGCATGTTTTTTTATGAGAAGATAACATTATAACATGATAAAAAACTCAAAGTTGATTTTTACATGATATTGCCCCTTTAACATTTTGGCAAGAGACTTACTAAACCTACAAAAATAGTCTAGATTTTTACTAGAGGCTTTTGGTGTCTGTGAGTTATACTCTGTCAGCTTAAAATGTTCACTCTGGACTGTACTTAAATTTCTGGTACTTTTTTGTTACAGGACAAAGTCTCAGAAGAAACGGTTTGAAGAAGAATTCAATGAGAGGATCATCAGGACGTTTGATGGAATAAATTCACAAAAGTATTGTGCAAACAAATATATACATTTTTTTAAATGTTTGTAGTTTTTGCATGTAGTGTTGGAAGAAATTATCTTAAATTATCCTAATCGTGATGGTGATTTCTAAAATTGAAAAATTTAAACTGTCTAAAATTTCTGAAGTACTGAATGTGCTTGTCCTATGTAACATATACTGTATGTGATCTCTATTATTTTTGGCTTTTCATTTGAATCACTTTAATTTGACCTAAGGTATTCTGCTTCCAGACAGTGGCTCAAGTCTGAGGACATTCAAAGAATATCACTGTTTTTTCATAACACATCTTTGGAGAAAGAGGTAAGACACTTCTTACTCAAGTCACATCACTTAATCCTGTTGTGGAGTGAAAAACATATAAGCACAATGGTTAGTTGGTTTGTTTACACTTACAGTAGGCTACATTGCTATTTTAAGAGTTACACATAATTATTCATGTCTGAATGGAAAGAAAAATGTCCGTCTTTTCATAGTTGTTGATTTTATTTAACTATTTATCCTTTTTAGTACAGAGCAACAACCTTGCCAGCCTTCAAATACTATATCACCTGCGCCTGTTCGATTTTTTTCTGCATTTTTATTGTGCAGATTCTGGTCCTGCCAAAGTGAGTGACCTTTATGTAAATTCCTACTCTACATTTGAATAATTTTTCTGCACTCATTATATTAGTTTATTTGATTGCATATGACATTTAAGGCAGTGAAATAAATCAGAGTTGTATTTTTGTAGGACAGCTGCTTTGGGAATATCCTTTGGAATGGCCTTTCTCATCTTGTCTTTAATACTCTTCATATGTTTCATTGGACACTTCCTGGTGAGTAGAGACGATCGACTAATTAAATTACTGCCATTTCAAGTGCACCACTCTTCCACACTACCATTATATATTGAAACCTCTGTTTAATGAGTGTGTTCCCTCTATATTGGAGGTAATTTATAAACAGTTCTGATGTTATGCCATAAAACCCAAGTAATAAAAGTGCTCATTTGTCAATAAAAGCTCGTAAGGTGACCCTCAGTGGTACTTAAGAGTAGCCTTTGGACTAAAACAAGTCATTAAAAGTTTAGGCTTAGTGGTCCCTAGCACTGTCACTGCTTGTGCTTTTATATTTATTTTAAGACACAAATAGCCATTTTTAAGACAACATAAACATAGACAGATACTTTGTAAATATCCATGTTATCATTTTAAGCATTCAGGTCATTCAGGTTTTTTTGTTAGCTTGTCGTTCTATGGTTTATTCTCATTATTAGGATGTTACATTCTTTCTTTGTAAATCATTTCAAAGGTTGATTTATCTTCCCTGGTCTTTCTTTCAGTGGGTTTTAACTGGGATAATTGGCTTAATGGATTCTTAGAGGTTATTTATGGAATATTTTGAGCATCAGTGTAGCAGTAATTATTTCTCTTGCTATTTAAAGATAATAGCATAGTGATGGTATTATCAGAGGATGAGGTTTCTCTTCTGTGCTGCAGTGCTTCTATTTTATAGCAGGTCAGTTCCTCTCAAACTTTAGAGATGAGTGTTTCCCGATTCCCAAATCTCAATCCTGATTTTCAAGACCCTCTGCCCTAGATGATGTCAATTAGAGATGTTAAACTTTTGTCTTCCAGGGTGACTATTTTCGGTGTTTAATGTATTTGCCTTCTTAAACACACCTGACTTAAATGACTGGGTTATAAAAAGACTTTTTGGAGAATATTGAAGGGTTAATTAAGTCATTTAAATTAGATGTGTTGGAGCAAGAAAACGGTTAAAGCTTGTAGGACAGTGGCCCCAGAAGGCTAAGGTTTGACACCTGTGGTTTAGCTGTTTTTCTGCTTGAACACATGCCAAATTGTTTATTTTTAAAACCTTGTTTGAATTTTGTTACAAACCCTGCATTCAGTAATACCACAATGAAAAAAATCACATTTTTCTAGCAATTTTCTTGCATCTTTTAGGGATTTATTTTTTATCAACTATTCTACCAACAAATGCAGCTTGTTGCGAACACTACCCTTTAAAAGCTGAATCAAGCCAGAATGAGCTTTATCTAGCTGAGATGAGGAAAAGTAGATATTGTGGTGGACAACTTATTGAAAACAACTTATTGCAATTTTTTTAGTCCTCTGAATTTGATTCACTGGGAGTTTAGTTTTTCTTACAGCTGCACTCAGACCAGACCTCAAACTTTCCCACCCATGTGGAAAATTGCTCTTCACAGATTGTTTGTATATCAGGAAACGGGGATAAGGACCGTGGCAACAAGTAGGGAAAAAGTGTACAGCTCATCAGGAGTTTAAGGGCCCATTTATGATGATAAAATACAAAATTAAAAATTAGATTTTTAAGAAAAAGTGCCTTTGATTTAAATATTTTTTTGATCTAGTAGTGTTTGAGATTTTAAAAAAGTAAATGAACAAACTCAGTTTTTATTGCTGGGATTGTTTGCTTTTTGCTGGGATTCAGAACAAGATAACATTTTTTAATTAAAAAAGTTCCTGGAATCACCATGTGACAAACGCTCTGATTATTTGAAAACACATATTTGTTTGATAAAGGAGGAAGTGACATTTGATTAAATTTGTATGATTGAAAGACTCATGTAGTTGGTTGGGCATAATACAGGGAAAGCTAGCATTGTAACTGGCAAAAGGTCTGGGAGTCATGGTTCATTACCGCATTAAAGGGTTGAATTAATTGTAATATAGTGCTCAATCTTTCAATCTATTCAATCTTTATTTAATTCTCAATGGCTTCAATTCAGCAAGATGGTAAATATTCCACTAAGGTTTTGGCACATTTTGACATGATCATATCAGGCAGCAGCAGATTTGTCAGCTGTCCATCCATGATGCAAATTTTCTATTGTGCCACGTCCCAGTGGTGCATGATTGGATTGAGATTTGGTGACTATGGAGGCCTTGGGAATCCAGTAAACAACACTCATTGTACAATGTTTTTACAGTCTCTTGTTGTCCAACATAGGTGAGCCTGTATGAATTGTAGCCTCAATTTCCTGTTCTTGTGGCATCCAGTGTTTATTTATTTATTTACCCTGTAGCCCATCTGCTTTAATGTTTGGCATGTTGTGCATTTAGAGATGGTATTCTGCATACCTTGGTTGTGACAAGTGATTATTTGAGCTGGTTTCTTTTCCATCATCTCAGGTCAGTCTGCCCATTCTCCTCTGACTGACAATGAACAGTTTACCTTTGTTTTTTTTTTTTTTTTGGACTATTGTCTAAGCCCTAAACTTGATTGTATGTGAAACTCCCAGTAGATCAGCAGTTTTTGAAATACTCAAATCAACATATCTGGTACAAAGAAATATGCCTTGTCCAAAGTCAACTAAATCCCCTTTCTTCCACCTTCAGATGTTCAGTTTGAATTTCCAAATCATCCAAATGCATTGAATTGCTGTCATGTGATTGGCTGATTTAGACATTTGTGTGAAACCAAACATTGAACAGATTTATCTAATAGTGTCCTGATGAGTATAGATTATAAATGATAGCAAGTAGATGGATAAGACTGAATACACTTGTGTATTGTTTTTTTTTTTGACAAGAGATTATTCAATCTTTATTTAAGTGTACTGTAAATCAATGAGAAGAAGGGGTTAAGCTGATAAAAACAAACAAAAAATACTGCAATTCAGTAACTTGGACATAAAGACCCCTAATAATTAAATTTTTTAAGGCATTACTGACAGCAACAACATCACAGCAACAATTATCCACACAAATGTATTTTATTTTTTTACAATATTGGAGGGTTTTTTAAAAAAACATTTTTTGTGTGTTCATTTGTTTGTGACTCTCTCCCAGTAACATTTTCATTATCTTTCAATAGAAACCAAACTTTAAAATTTAGAAAAACTCAGTTTGTTGTGATTGTGTGAGAAAACTGTACATGGCTTTGGTTATTTTGGAAAGAAGTTAGTCTGTGTAAAGCATCAATATAAAGTACAGCAACCAAATAATAGAAATGGTTCATAATATCAAAACTAATTAATCTAATTGATTCCATGTACAATAATTAACATTCTTCAGTTCTGTTCTTGGGCACGTTACCTGCTAATCAGTGCACAGAAATATAGTTACAACAGAGCATAAAAGAAAAGAGGTTTCTTAGCCTGCTGCTGTGTTAACTGGTGACTCCAGTAGACTAGTCACTGATATGCTCAGTAAGGCTGCATTTCTGTTGGTAAATGGGTTTCTGCTATTTAGGGCTGAGGTTGAAAAGGTCACAAAACAAATGGAAATGCCATGTTTTCAGAACAGAAAAAATCCTCCACTTGCTCTACAATTTTCAGTAAACCCTTTTGGTGCATAATACAATGTGCCATCTTTTAGTATGTTGGAATGAGACGTACATCTCGGAGCTATTCAAATGTCACATCCACTCAGCTGCAGCCATGCTGAGATGGTCGCAGATGATCGAGTAAATTATTTGGTTTTTACTCGTGCTGTTTCACGATGAATCACACGGAGCTGAAGGGATTGCTGTAAAGAAGGAAAACCAATTGACTGTGAATGACCTCGCAAACATTTGCAGAATAGAAACGCTTCTTTCGTCAATAAAACCTCAACAATATACAATTTATAGACATATTAAAATGATAATGCCTATCCTGTGAAGGGTAGAAAATGACTGTAAAAAAGTATAATGTATATGCTTTTAACTCATAAAGGCATGCCACTGTTGGCCTTAGGCAGTAGGAGTAGCAAATTTGAAACAGTTTATCTTCTGACAAATGTTTTTGTCATCACTATAATTAAGGAAATTGCGTTGTATTTGAGATTTTGTTGCATTATCATTTGTATTTTGTAGTATTCCAATAATTTAAAAAATCATTTCATTGTTGTTAATTATGGGTACCTTGAAACTTCTCATTGATATTACCGAGTAAGAAGTTAACTAGTAATGTGTGTTTTAGCACAGTGTTTTTCAACCCTGGTCCTCAAGGCACACATTTTGTAGTTCTCCTGTTGCTTTCTTCTTTGATTCTTTGATGATCAGCATGTTCAGTTCCCAAATCTTGTTTTAGCTCACTTGTGTTATATTCTCAAGTGTGTGTGTGTGTGTGTGTGTGTGTGTGTCTGTGTCTGCAGCACTTCAGTAAAAGTGCATCTACTTCTTGGATGTGGCTGCTGAGGTCATCAGTTATTATTGCCAACAAGCCATGGCCCCGCATCACACTCACCATGACAACCACGGCTCTAATACTCATAATGGCAGTCTTCAACATGGTAAGCTTTTATGTGCAGGTATTGGACTGAGGGAGGGGTATGTCATGTGAACATAAACTTTATATGAAGTATCACAATCTTTTGAACAACAGTCTTGTTTGTTAATACCAAATTATTAAAATTTATAGAAGATTAATGGGCCTCATGCAAGAACATTTTCGTATTCTTATCCTAAATTTCTCTTATTTTTGTTCGTATGAAGGGTTTGTACGAACATGTCACGTCAGATTCAACAAACTCTTGTATCTTCAGGAAAAGTGTGTAAATGAGCAGTGTAAACCGATGAATGCGCATCAGCTGCTCATGCACGAGGAGAGGAGATTTGCATAATTACCACCCCAAAAACACCATGAAGCTATACGTTTCCTGCCCCACATACCAGGAAGTGTCCATTCATAAACAACATCACAAAGTAAAAAMGAAGAACTTTGCGAGTTCAGAGATTGAAGTCCTGCTCTCAGAGGTCCAGAAAAAAAATCAGTCATTTTTAGCAGCGTCAGCTGTGAAATTAAAGGAGATGCTAAAGAATGAAATGATAACTGCTGTTAATGTCGTGCTTCCTGTGGGTCGTATACAGTCACAGAAATAAAAATCTAAATCATATTCATCTTTCTCTAGGCCTGCTCTGGTTTTTCTTTGGTCAAATTTTGAATTTAAGTGTAAACAACTGTTTTACATAGTTTTCATTTATTCAGAAGAAGAGCAGTCGCGCATCGCTACCCCCCCGCCTGGCCGTTTCCCCCCTCTCGACCATCGCAAATGCCAGATGTGGTTCTGAAAAAAAAAGCATTTTAAAATGTCTCCAAACTTCAATTAATGCATAATTTAAGTTGGTTTTTAGTTTGAGATCTTCATATTAATATTGTAGTGTTATACAACAGCATTAAAAGCCAATTTAATTTAATCGAACCAATTTGTGTCATTAGTTACATTTTAAAATCTAATTCCAATTCAAACAGAATAACCAATTGTCAACATAATTATGGAGTGTGATTTATTTTAAACCCAAAATATCTTCAAACTAATGAAATATAAAGTTATTAATGAGAAAAATCCATCTGGATAACAGCAGACTGACTGCTCGTAAAATATACCACAGGTCTGGACCACTCGTGAACTTTGTTTGTTTCTGGAAAAAAAATCTTAGAAAACAAGAAAATTGGTAAATGACACAAATTCTCCTAAATCACTCGTATGCACAACTTAGGGACGAATATGTTCGTATGAACGGTTCATGTATGAAGGCCAATGTGTTTTCAGCCAAAGGTTATTAAACGTTTGTCTGATGTTATAAGTAGAAAATATCTGTGTATTATTGTTTTGGGGTTTCATGGTGTTCTTGTTTGAATATCTGGTTCTTCATGTTTTAATTATCTGTACATTTTTAGTTTATTTCTGCCAGTGCTTTCTGTTTTTAGCCATCTGTGTTTTCTGTTACCGTTTCTGCCTGCCAGTTATTGGTATGTTCTTGTACCTTAGCCAAAGTTCCCTTCTTCCCTGTACTTCCTGTAACACTCACGTGTCAGCCATTTGTAATCATCCCAGCTGTTCCCATTTACTAATCACCCCACCCAGGAATTGCACTCTGGCTTTTTTGCAGTGTTCTCATTCAGATCCTCAAACATAAGTATGCTCAGTTCTATCTAGTTTATGTTTTGCATTGTTTTCTCTGTGATATTTAACTGTGGCAAGGGTGAGTCTGTGATCGAGAAGTTGCAAGTTCAAATTCCCAGACCAGCACAGTTGAGTGGGAAAAATAAAGCACCCATACTGTGCTTCCACCCTTATTTGTGGACTCTTGAGCATTGCCCTTAACCGTCCATCTGTTTGTTATCCTGGTGCCTTAGATGGCGGCCCTCTGTTCCACATGTGCAATCATAAATATGCAGAGTATGAATTAACAGGGTATATAAAGTTATGAATAAACTAAATAAATTACTTTGGGAGTAATGTCTGCTTACTTTCTACCTCAACAACCACCAATCACCATATCCATTTCAGGGTGATCAGATTTTTGTCCAAGTCTTGTGCTTAAAACACTGAGACACTGGCCATTTTTAATTATAGAAATTTTTAACTGTTCTGTTAAAAAACTACACTAGTGCATATGTAGCAGTCCCTATGGTTAGTGACATTTAATGTGGTATTCATCTTGATTTTACTTTATTTTTCCAGTTTATTTTCTTTTCCAGGTCTCAGTCATATTGGATGTTTCACCACACAATCAGCTCCAGAAAGTAATCTCCTTTCTATTGTTCTCCTTGGCGTTTCGGTCATGAAAATGATGGTTTCTGGATAGCTTACATCATCATTTGCAAGCCCTGATAAGAAAACACTGTATATAACATTTTTATTGTTAATTTGCTGAAGCTCTGTTATTTTTCCAGATTTATCTGATGGTTTATTTTTATAGAGTAAAGACAAATGCATGAAGGCTCTGATAAAAGTGGAACAGTAGCCCGAGGCTTTGAGAGGAGGTGTTGATAAAGCATCGTGTCAGGACCCTGGTTTAGACCTTCACACAAATCGATTGCAGAGATTATAATCATGTTTTGTGTCTGACGTGGGTCAGTTGCTCAGGGCGGATGAACCAAATTATCTTGGTTTTGCTCAGTGAGGGCAGCCAATCCTCATGTTATCCTGCGGGTTCACATTAATGGGCAGTATTGAATGGTTGTCACCAATGCCCTCTAATAGAAGATTTGGTTTTCCTCCTGCAAGTCTAATGCTGACTAGTTCATCTTTTCAAGTATCGACACGCTAAACAAACAGAGGGAAAAATGTTTTCCTGAACCTTTTTTTTGTCAACAGCTGTGAAGAAAGCGGTAGGACTGTGTTGCAAATATGAATCATAACAAAAACATCAAATAATGCATGTTTTTTTCTTTCTAGTTCTTTTTGGAAGACATCGTGTCGCCTTCATTTCCTCTTTATAATTCATCCAATGAAACACTGCTTCACCATCATGGACAACAAATCACCTTCACTGGCAAAAACAATTTCTATCTTCCTGTAAGTAAAAACTAATGTCACTATTAAAAGGCTTTATAAAGTAATCTTATTTGTTCTTCTTTTTGTTGTTTATTAATCCAAGATTTTTTCTTTTGGTCCAGTATTTAATTTATAGTTGTATCCTGGGCCTCATCTCTTGCTCAGTGTTTCTAAGGATAAACTATGAGCTGAAGATGGTCATAATGTTGACAGCAGTGGTGATCTACAACATCATTATTCTACAAACACATTCTTCTCTGCTGGATGAATACAGCAGATTTCTATACCAGACCGAGAGCCTGGACAGGTTGGTGAAACAAATCTCTGTTTTAGTCTCGAAAGTATCCAAGCGTACCTAACTCTGTCTGAATATCTGGTCATTACGCACATCATCAATTTTGTTTAATTACACAAAATATTACTATTATAAACATGTACTAATGACCCCCTCCCCACCCCCAGGTATTTCATTTCTACAAACACAGCTCGAGCAGATAAAAAATGTATTTAAAGTAAAATGAAAATGTTAAATAATTATACTTGATGCAAATTAAACCTGACTGTATTTGAAAGCTTAAGGTGTAATATAGACACAACCCATTTTGCACAGACAGAAGATAATGCTCACCAAAGTACCACTGCTCGTTGGTTGTCAAATACAAAAGGGCATCTTTCACCAGTAATTACATAAGAATTAGTTCAAAGAAACGTGATCCCACAAACTACAGTCATTCAGTCAATCTGTGTTCTACTTTCATTGGATTCATTTCATACATTCTACAGCAGGGCCTTCTCTGCCAACAAATCAGGAAATTGGTTGCTTCATAAGAGGTCAGCAGCTCAGTGAGCTCATCATGAATGAAACCACTTAGTGTGAGAAAGTGTAAGACAGAACACCTGCACATGGGTGGGTTTTACGCATTATGAAGAAAAGTAAAGCCAAGCTCTGGTCATTCATAGTTTGGTTTGATGTATTATACCATAAAGAGTTGGCCTGCTGCAGAGCTGCTCAATAAAAATTTAATAGACTAAGATTTTTTTATGTAAAGCTGTCATACAGAGTTGGCTCACTGGCAAGTTAGTTATTATTCTAAATTATTCATGGAGAAATTTAGAGGTCAGCCTTGGAAAAACATCACAATTTGTGCCATCATCAAAGTTTTTGCTTCTCTTCTTTTTAATAGACCTGAAATATTTAAACAAACTGTATACATGAATAGGTCAGATGATTTTATAATGTAGAGCACGTTTAAATAGTTTTACAATTTCCTAAATATGTTTGCAGCTTTTTATGCAGAGAAAACTAAATTTATGTCCAACACTAACAAGAAAACTTTTGTCCTGAGTCAGCTAAAAATTAAGACCACATATCTGTAACAACTTTTTGAGCATATTTATAACTTTTCAAGTTAACTTTCTAATTGTGTGCATGTTTGCCATCTTCCTGGGCTGCATTTCTTGCAACGGTGTGCAAACCTTGCAACTGTCAAAATATACTGTTTGTTGCTTTTAATGCTTTAATTTAAAACTTGTCTACTAATTTACCTCAGGTGATTGATAAAGTAGCTTCCTGTTCTATTGTATTCTCAGGTAAGCAAAATATTGAAAGAATTCATTATTATTAAATGTAATCTTAAGTTGGAATACAACAAATATCACTGGGGAGGTCTCTGTTCTGCTGCTGTAAATAAAGTATTTGAAGATGTACAGTGTGGCACATAAATAGTTGTAACAGCATTTTTTTTCCTGTAATTGTGCTGTGTACAGAAATGCTGTTAAAAGGTAAAATGAGAGAACAAACAAAGCTTAAACTGTTTTCAGTGCTGAAGCTTTTGTAAACACGTCTTTGGAAAATGTTTGTAGTGATTGTACCATAGAAGGAAAGCTTCCTCGCTGGGAAGCAAACCGTAAACAAACTCTTGTCGCACTTAAGCAGAAGTGACAGTTTAAATTGAGCGACAGCTTGGAATAAAATGGTCAGTTAATCATTCATGAGACGTGTGTCAGCGCCGGTTGTCATCTGAATTTGGAATTAAATAGTCTTAATGACATCTTTCTCTCTTTAATTTTCACTTTGTTTGATTACTCACTCTAGGTTTGTCATCTTGCTGGTGAATTTATTTTTCTTTTTTATGCCCCTTAAGACCAGGAGTTCTCAAGGACCTGAAAACCATGGGTTCCATATCTCTCTTTATCTTTTTCATCACTCTGCTTGTTCTTGCCAGACAGGTACGTTTTCACTTGAATGACATGGTATTCTGTTTCCCATTTTTCTCCAAAGACTTTAAACAAGATCAGATTTTAACTCTGAATTATCAAGATTTCTGTTTTGTTGAGCTTCCTCACATACCAATTTATTAGTTGTCTGAAAGTTTCCTTCCATTTTCTCTACCCTCCCTAACACATTCTACCCTCCCTAACACATTCTACCCTCCCTAACACATTCTCTATGTGCTCTTTGTCTCTGTCTCAGTCCTGAACTTTACCCCCACATTCTTCCTCCTGCACCAGCCAGTTTTTTCCCTTCAAATTGCTCATACTCTGATGTAGTGAATGTCTAAAGCCTGAGTTTAATGAGGTCTCCACATTTTTTTATTAAAAAGCTCAGACTGAAAATATGCTTGAAATTTATGATCTCAGGAACAGTTTGTGTCCTTTTTGTTTTGGTTGTTTTTCATTGCATCACTTTAGCAGAGCAATAAACACATTAGTTTTCTGCTAAATGAACATCATTCACTGAACTCAGAAGAGATGGTACTTTGTGGCTTCTCCACAGTTTAAAGCAAAGTATGTTCTTTATTTCTTTCAGTCATTGGAGAGTTTACAGTCCATCAAACCACATCATGTTAATACATTTGAAGATTTTAGATCAGATGAACATTTTAGATTTGGTTAAGCCGTGCCTAGGCAATTTACGTAGGATCCACTCCTGTCTGCTGAATGGCTTGCTGCTACTGTAGAGGAGAGCTGTTGTCATGCAGGGAGTCTGATTCGTATGCAACAATGCTTAGGTGGCAAATATCAAAGTCATATCTGTGAAGGTTGCAATGCTGTTTTTATCAGCAGAACATTTTGACAAAGCGAATTGAGAAGCGTTAGCTTAATTGGTCATAGTTTTATGACTGATTTATGCACATATGCATGATGTCATGTATTGTTGATTTTGTGAGATTTCCCCATTCTAAGACCTTTATAGATCACCTGATGCTATTTGTCACTTGATATGTAAAACCCCCAAATTGTATTTTTTCATGACTGTAAAAGCAATGAGGACTGTGTTTGTGTCAGTGAAATTGAAGAGAAATTAGAGTCCCATAGAAATTTGCAGTGGCCACTTTTTTGCCTTCAAAACCACATCAAATCAAATGTGCAAATGCATCATAACACTGTCCAAATAAGTCTGTTCAAAAGCAGCAGCCAAAGTGTGTATCTATATAAATTGTTGTTCTAGAGGGATTAGATGTTCTTGTGTTTTGTTCTGTTAATAACATAGATTTTTATATGAATTATTCTTGAAAAAAGAGGCAGATATTATACGATTTTTTTTCTTCTTTCTACCTCCTTCATTTCAATTTGATTTGTATATATGTTTTTTTGTTGTG